CCCGTTCCCCCCCCCCCCGGCTCACCCCGCTGCGTTCCAGGGGCTGCGTTTCCAGTTCAGCGAGTGTTCAAAGGCTAATAGCAGAGGACGGTCTCAATGAGGCTGTAGCACAATGTGCACTCTAGAAATTATCCAGGGAGCAGAGCAGGGACCTTTGTGAGGGGAGCTGGGAGAGCTGGTGGGGGGCCCTGATCCCCCCCCTGCCCCACCATTGCTCTCAGCTGCTCCAGCCATCCGTAGCCAGGCCCTTTGCAAAGAGGTGACAGGAGAGAGCGTGAAAAGGAGGAATGAAGTGCAGGGGAGAAAGGGGTCCAGCCCCCTCCCTCAAGGGACATTGCATCTGCTGACTCTAGCGGGGTCCTGCCAGTATTGGGCAGGGGGCAGAGAAAGGATTGAGGAACAAAGGGAAGGAAATTTGGAGGGGAAGGGGACCTTGAAACGGGAAAGGGATTTGAAATGGGAAATGGGAGAAAAAAGGGAAGAGTTAGGGAACGAATAAAAAAGGCAAGAGAGGGAAGAGATGCCCTGCTTCCTGCTTGGAGGGGGTTTGGGGTGAAGCCCTCATTGCCCCAATAGATTTAAGGGAAGGGGATGGGTCCCTGAATAGCCTGATTAGAGCAATGTGGGCTGGACCTGGTCCCCTTAGCTTGGTTAGCAGGTACGAACCCCCTGGGCTAGTTACTGGAGTGTGTCATGCTCCCCTCCGCAAGGGCTAGCTCATGGGGGGACACATCAGACCCCTGAGAAGCCCCCCATGCAGTCCTGCCCTTGCTGGTGCCCCCCGGCTCTCTGCCTGCAGCGGTCTGGGGATGCTCCGCAGGACCTCCGCTCATCCCTGCACCATGGAGGCTGCTGGCAGTGCTCGCACCTGGGGGGCGAGGCGGGATGGACGTACAGGAGAAGGATGTGCACAAGCTGGGTCTGGAATAGGCCAGAAGCTTATCTTGCAGAGCTGGCTTTCCCCTCCCACCTAGTCAGCACCTCGCCAGGGCCCGTGCTTGGGAGCAGATGCTGCACATGGTCACTTTTCTCCCCAAACCCTTTTTTTTTTTCTCTCTCTCTCTCTCTATTTTTTAAAAGCCAGAGTTTGGATGTGCCAGACAGACACCCAGGCTTGAATGCGTTCGGGGCGGTATTCCTCGTGGTTGTGCAGCAGGGTTGAGTGCATAGTTTTAGGAACAGGTTAGACACAAACCTTTTTGGGGACGTGGGCTTTTCTGGGGTGGGCATGAGCCTGCCCCAAGCAGGTGGCTGGACTAGATCTCTGGAGATCCCTTCCAGCCCTGCTTTTCTGTGACTCTGAGACCCAAAGATTGTAGGGTTCGGGCCGACACCTGCTGAAGCCCGTGAGAGTTTGTCCCATTTGGATTTGGGTTTTTTGGGAGAGCTGCGGTGGGGGGTGGCTCTATTCTGTGTGGACTGCAACCCCTTCCCAGAGGTCCAGAGCCAGATCTCAGCACTGGTGGAAGCCAGGGCAGCCAGGTGGGATCCTGCCCCCAGTGATACAACTCCTGGTGACACTTCTGGCTCATTGGCAGCCAGGATGCTGCAGCCCAGTTTCCTGGTGCTGTGGCCCAGAGGAGGCAGAGGTGAAGCAGTAGGTATAGCTGTCAATGCTTAACCTGAGCCAGCTGCATTTGCTGTAAATGCACCCCACCCCAGCAAAGGTAAGAGGGGTTCTGGGCTCCCCTCCCTATTTTGCCGGGTGCAGATCCCTATGGGCTTGCAGGAAAGAAGTGTTTTTTCTTCCGTCTCGGACTAAGAATTCAGGTTCTTGTTCTCCTGTAGGCAGCTGCCTCCCCTGGGAAGGAGCACTGGGATGCTGTAGGGTTAGGGCCGGTTTGGAAGTCGTCTGCCTGTGTTGTCTTGTGCTGGTTAAAGCTAGAATCTAGCTCAGTCTGGGCCTGGGCTCCCATTCTTGCTTGCTGTGCTAAATAATACTTGTCACGTCTTCCATTAGGAGTATAGTCTGCAATTCACAGTAGACCACTGCTGGATTGTTTCTGGGGGCTACCAGACAGCTGTTGCCTTCCACCCCAGAGCTGGCTGCATCCCAGAGTGGGGAGAAGCGACCTCTGCAGAGGTTTGTTATTGCCCTCGGTGGGTGCAGGAGCCAGACCACAGCCAGCAAAGTGCTTTGGGATCCCTTGAGGTATTGGATCAGGTCCTGTCTAAGCCATCGTGTAGACACTACTCATCAGCACGGCATGATTTGCCCTTGGGGAATGTGAAATGGGATGTAACTTTGTGCAAGTCCAAATCATGCTGCAGTAGTACCCAAATGGTGCATTTTGTAGGGGAGTAGCGCGCTTCAGACAAGTTGGGGGAAGAGCCTGTGAGATGCACCCCAGGAGGGGTAGACGGGAGCAGAGGGTTCTCATGATCCAGGGATTATCTTGATGGCTCTTCATAGGGAGACAGATGCACCAAAGACCCCCCTCTACGCTGGTCCAACCCCCTTGGACCAATCGGGCAGGCTCCTGCAGCCTCTTTTCATGGCCGGGGCCCCCGGGGGCTGGAGACAAAGCACCGGAGGGTGAGACCGGGGGTGCCGCAGCTCGGGTCCTGCCACTCAGCCGCCCTCGCGGAGAGAAAGACTTATTATTCCTCTCCTGCCATTCACCACTCGCTTCCCTCTGAAGCTCCAGAAGCTTCAATGCACCTTGCCACAAAAGGGGTTTTCTCCACGAGGGGATCAAACGCCGGGCACATTGTTGCGTGTTCAATGCCTCGTTCCCCTCCAGAGCGTGGTCCCCCCACCCTCTCCCTCTTTTTATTGAGAAAGAGAGAAAGAAGTTTTGTTGGGATTTTGTGTTGCTCCCGGGACCAAACCAGTGGGAGGCCAAAGGGGTTATGGGAGAGAGAAATCCCGGTGCGGGGGGCGGAAGGACGATGGAAACTCTGGGGTGGGGGGATCCTTACTGGGTTCATTTGTAGCTCCTCGATGGCCCTGGCAGGGTGGGTTCCCCCCTCTGCCTGGTGTAGGATCACGGGGCTGGAAGGGATCTCAAGGGTCATCTCATCCAACCCCCCCACAAGATGCATTTAGGAGGAGGTTGCTATCCAGAGTGTCCAGGACATGGGTTGAAGGGGATAACGCCCGAGCAGAGGGAGCAGTGGTGGCTGGAACGCGCTCTGTTAGTTAGAAGGAAAGGGGGTTGCTTGTCATTTCTGCTCGTCTTTAAAAGCACATGCATGCACCACACAATACATGCATGTGTGTACTTGCACGCACCATACACATGGGCATAGTTGCGTACCGTTCATATGTGACTGCACCAGTATATTGTGTGCTAGCACAGCCACACGGACTCATGTGCATCATATCGAACATACCAGAGATGTGCAAAGCAGGTATCTGCCCCAGGCTGCCCTAGCCTCTTGCACACGCATTCACCCTGCGCAAACACTGGCAGTGGAGACGCATGCTACATGCTCTCCCATGTGCATTCACCACAGACATCTGGCCAAATCCTGCCTTGTGAGGCCAATCGGTTCCCCAGCACCTGAATTTGGCCTTTCCCCTGGGGGGGTGTCCAGAAAGGCCTTGGGGTAGAGGGGGAGGAGAAGCAGGGGGTGGAAGGCAGATAAGAGATGCACTGACTTGCTCCTAGTTACGTTGCCCTCTATTCAGCAATGGGGAGGCCACATCTGGAGCACTGTGTCCAGTTTTGGGCCCCCCGCTGCAGAAAGGATGTGAACAAGGTGGAGAAAGTACAGGAGAAGGCAATGAAAATTGTGAGGGGGCTGGGGAACATGACTTGAGGAGAGGCAGGGGGAAGTGGGCTTTAGTCTGGAGAAGAGGAGACCGAGGGGGATTGAATAGCAGCCTTCAAGCCCCTGCAGCGGGGCCGCAAAGAGGGTGGAGCTGGGCTGTTCTCAGCGGGGGCAGATACAGGACAAGGAGCAATGGGCTCAAGTTGCAGCAAGGGGAGTTGAGGTTTGATATTAGGAAAAACTTGCTCACTAGGAGCGTAGTAAAGCACTGGAACAGGGTACCTAGAGAGGTGGTGGTTTCTCCATCCTTGGAGGTTTTGTAAGACCTGGCTAGACAAAGTCTTGGCTGGGATGATGTAGTTGGGGCTGGTCCTGCTTGGAGCAGGGGTTGGACTAGATGTGACCTCCTGAAGTCTCTTCCCATCCTCATTTTCTATGATTCAGTGCCCTGGCCTCTGGTCCCACATCACCCTTCGTAGG